AACACCCAGGGAACAAACACACAACACACAGGCAACAAACTCACAACACCCAGGGAACAAACACACAACACCAGGGACCAAACACACAACACCCAGGAAACAAACTCACAACACCCAGGGAACAAACACGCAACACTCAGGGAACAAACTCACAACACCCAGGGAACAAACACACAACACCCAGGAAACAAACACACAACACCCAGGGAACAAACACACAACACCCAGGAAACAAACACACAACACCAAGGGAACAAACACGCAACACTCAGAGAACAAACTCACAACACCCAGGGAACAAACACACAACACACAGGCAACAAACTCACAACACCCAGGGAACAAACACACAACACCCAGGAAACAAACACACAACACCCAGGAAACAAACACACAACACCCAGGGAACAAACACACAACACCCAGGGAACAAACACGCAACACTCAGGGAACAAACACACAACACCAAGGGAACAAACACGCAACACTCAGGGAACAAACACACAACACCCAGGGAACAAACACGCAACACTCAGGGAACAAACACACAACACCAAGGGAACAAACACACAACACTCAGGGAACAAACACGCAACACTCAGGGAACAAACACACAACACCAAGGGAACAAACACGCAACACTCAGGGAACAAACACACAACACCCAGGGAACAAACACGCAACACTCAGGGAACAAACACACAACACCAAGGGAACAAACACACAACACCCAGGGAACAAACACGCAACACTCAGGGAACAAACACACAACACCAAGGGAACAAACACGCAACACTCAGGGAACAAACACACAACACCCAGGAAACAAACTCACAACACCCAGGGAACAAACACACAACACCAAGGGAACAAAAACACACCACCCAAGGAAAAAAACACCATCCAGGAAACAAACACGCAACACTCAGGGAACAAACTCACAACACCAAGGGAACAAAAACACAACACCCAAGGAAAAAAACACCATCCAGGGAAGAAACACACAATACCTAAGAAACAAAGACACACACCACGCAGGGAACAAATACACACAACTCAAAGAACAAAACACACAGCACCAAGCAAACAAACACACAACACCTAGGGAAAAAACACACACAACACCCAGGGAACAAACACACACCACCCAGGGAACAAACACACACCACCCAGCAAACAAACACACAACACCTAGGGAACAAACACACACACACACAATACCAAGGGAACAAACACACACAACACCCAGGGATCAAACACACACCACCCAGCAAACAAACCCGCAACACCTAGGGAACAAACACACAACACCCATTGAACAAACACACACAACACCTTGGGAACAAACACACACACAACACCTATGGAACAAACACACACCCTATGGAACAAACACACACACAACACCCAGGGTACAAACACACAACACCGAGGGAACAAACACACACCACCCAGCAAACAAACACCCACAACACCCACGGAACAAACACAACACCCTGGGAGCAAACGCACACCACCTGGGGAACAAACACACATCACATCCAGGAACAAACACACAACACCCAGGGAACAAACACACAACACCCAGGGAACAAACACACACACATAACGCATGGAACAAACACACACCACCCAGCGAACAAACACAACACCCAAGCAACAAACACACAACACACAGGGAACAAACACACACCACCAAGGGAACAAACACACAACACTCAGGGAACACACACCACCCAAGGAAAAAACACATACAAAACACACAGGGAACAAACACACAGGAAACAAACACACATCGTCAAGGGGAACAAATACACAACACCCAGGAACAAATACACGCAACACCCAGGGAACGAACACACAACACCCAAGGAACAAACACACAGCACCCAGCAAACAAACACTACACCTAGGGAACAAACGCACAATACCCAGGGAACAAACACATACAACATCCAGGGAACAAACACACACACACTTTCCAGGGAACAAAAACACACAACACCCAGGGAACAAACAAGCAACACCCAGGGAACAAACACACACACAACACCCAGGGAACAAACACACAACAACTGGGTAACAAACACACACTCCACCAATGGAACAAACACAAACACACTACCCAGGGACAAACACACACCACCAAGGGAACAAACACACACAACATCCAGGGAACAAACACACAACACTTAAGGAAAAGACACACAACACCCAGGGAACACACACACACACCACTAAGGGAACAAACACACAACACTTAAGGAAAAGACACACAACACCCAGGGAACACACACACACACCACTAAGGGAACAAACACACAACACTTAGGGAACAAACGCACACAACACCCAGGGAACAAACACATACCACATTGGAACAAACACACATCCAGGGAACAAACACTCAACACCCAGGGTACAAACACACACAACACCCAGGGAACAAACACACACAACACCCAGGGAACAAACACACACAACACCCAGGGAACAAACACACACAACACCCAGGGAACAAACAAACACAACACCCAGGGAACAAACACACACAACACCCAGGGAACAAACACACACTCACCCAGGGAACAAACACACACAACACCCAGGGAACAAACACACACTCACCCAGGGAACAAACAAACACAACACCCAGGGAACAAACAAACACAACACCCAGGGAACAAACACAACACCCAGGGAACAAACACAACACCCAGGGAACAAACACTCAACACCAAGGAAACAAACACAACACCCAGGGAACAAACACACACAACACCCAGGGAACAAACACAACACCCAGGGAACAAACGCACACAACACCCAGGGAACAAACGCACACAACACCCAGGGAACAAACGCACACAACACCCAGGGAACAAACACAACACCCAGGGAACAAACACACACAACACCCAGGGAACAAACACACATAACGTCCAGGGAACAAACATACACAACACCCTGAAAACAAACACATACCACCTTGGAACACACACAACACCCAGGGAACAAACACACACAACACCCAGGGAACAAACACACACAACACCCAGGGAACAAACACACACAACACCCAGGGAACAAACACACACTCACCCAGGGAACAAACACACACAACACCCAGGGAACAAACACACACAACACACAGGGAACAAACACACACAACACCCAGGGAACAAACACACACAGCACCCAGGGAACAAACACACACAGCACCCAGGGAACAAACACACAGGGAACAAACACACACAACACTCAGGGAACAAACACACACAACACCCAGGGAACAAACACAACACCCAGGGAACAAACACAACACCCAGGGAACAAACACACACAACACCCAGGGAACAAACACAACATCCAGGGAACAAACACACACAACACCCAGGGAACAAACACAACACCCAGGGAACAAACACAACACCCAGGGAACAAACACACACAACACCCAGGGAACAAACACACACAACACCCAGGGAACAAACACAACACCCAGGGAACAAACACACACAACACCCAGGGAACAAACACAACACCCAGGGAACAAACACACACAACACCCAGGGAACAAACACAACACCCAGGGAACAAACGCACACAACACCCAGGGAACAAACACAACACCCAGGGAACAAACACACACAACACCCAGGGAACAAACACAACACCCAGGGAACAAACACACACAACACCCAGGGAACAAACACAACACTCAGGGAACAAACACACACAACACCCAGGGAACAAACACACACAACACCCAGGGAACAAACACACACAACACCCAGGGAACAAACACAACACCCAGGGAACAAACACACACTCACCCAGGGAATAAACACACACAACACCCAGGGAACAAACACACACAACACCCAGGGAACAAACACACACAACACCCAGGGAACAAACACACACAACACCCAGGGAACAAACAAACACAACACCCAGGGAACAAACACACACAACACCCAGGGAACAAACACACACAACACCCAGGGAACAAACACAACACCCAGGGAACAAACACACACAACACCCAGGGAACAAACACAACACCCAGGGAACAAACACACACAACACCCAGGGAACAAACACACACAACACCCAGGGAACAAACACACACAACACCCAGGGAACAAACACACACTCACCCAGGGAATAAACACACACAACACCCAGGGAACAAACACACACAACACCCAGGGAATAAACACACAACACCCAGGGAACAAACACACACAACACCCAGGGAACAAACACAGTACCCAGGGTAAGTTACAGTGTTAGAGTGTGAAGACTGGAGACAGACTGGGGTGTGATGAAGGTACTGGTCACCAACTTTTCACTGCCCTCTACAACACCCTGCTGGTTATTTTCAGCGAGAACATTATGTGTAGTGTGGGAGAGGTTGCCCCGCGGGGGCTGTAAATACCGCACCTAAAAGCTCCTGTCACAAAACAATCACTTCGTACCCTCCTGGCAGGCCCTCAATGAATTTGGCTAGTAATAGTCGCAAAGTATTATTAGCAACTGCTGCCCCCTAAAATAATCTGCGTCTTGTGACTGCCGCTTTGAACAAGTGGTCGAGCGGTCCGATGGGCCTGAATGGCGAGCCGAGCGATAACAGTGCGAGCAATACGAAAGTAACTTTGTTGATAAGCGAGGATGTCTTGAATACCATACTGCCTAAAAACACCGCCCATTTCTTTACTACTCTCGCCACATGACGCCGGACGTACGATCAACCCTGGCTGCTATAAGGAAAGGACCTACCGATCATCTGTTTTATAATGACGTGTAAGAAGTCAAATGTGTACTGACAAGTCATCAGTTGTTTGAAGTTTCGTTACCATCGTTGAGAATGAAGGAATACCCATCAGAGGCTTGGGTATGGACCGCAGAGGGTTTTTGCGCTGTTGTACGAGAGTTTTCCCGGTGTATGGCGACGACAACACGACCTCCTACAGTAACCATCAGTATCAGTCGAGAAAGCTAAGGTGGATTACGCTCGCGCTCTTACACATTGCGTCGTCGTTTTTGGTCAGTCAAATATTTAGTTGGATTTGATAATACTGTGAACCAACCCTCTGTTTACTTACGTGACAAAAGTTCCCATAGTGACATCTCAAGTGACCGTTATCGCGGGGAACTTGTTAAATATATTAAGACTATGTGCGTAGGCTCTCAGTAGGAGAGAGAGGCCTAACCCCGTAAGAAGTAGTATTATTTCTAAGTGGTTGTAGAAGCAGTGTTTTATTGGGTAGTAGTGAGGCGTGGCGAGGAGGCGTGGAGGCGCGGGCAGGTGTGCGCATGGTCGTCCTGCCGGCACCCACACATTCACTACACAACACTGGTAAGTTGAACCCCTTGGTTATAATGGAGGTCACGGCTGTGACTTGGGCCCACGCTCCCTCCTTCTCTCTCCCTCCCTCCGCTACTCTCCCTCCCTCCGCTACTCTCCCTCCCTCCGCTACTCTCCCTCCCTCCGCTACTCTCCCTCCCTCCGCTACTCTCCCTCCCTCCGCTACTCTCCCTCCCTCCGCTACTTCCCCGTCATCCATCTCTCCCGACCCGCCCTACATCGCTCCCTCCCTCTACATGGCTCCCTCAACACGCACCACTTACTATAGTAAGGTTAACGCGGACCTTCAACACTGGCAGGAGGGCTTGTGTAGGGCTCTAGGTGAAGTAAAGTGAGAGGACACTGACAGGGGGACACACACTCCTACACTCTCATGTAGTAAAACTGAGCCATGTAGAGATAAATCTAAAATCACGTTGTATAAAATGGCAAACTTATCTTATTACTAAGGATAAAATACCTGATATCGTTGCACTGTCCATATTTCGCTCCCAGCAGATAAACCAGATATAAGATTAAGAGGCAAGTACTGTATTGTGGAGACTTATAATAATAAACAGCAGCTCCCCAATGACTGTAATATCTCCATTGCTCAAACAATTATGTATTAGTGATAAGACCTACCATTAATGTATAATAATTTAATGTAACTATATAGCTCTCAAAATAAAACAATAAAACATTCTCTGAACTAGCTGATATTGTAATTATAAGGTGTCAAGCATATATGAAATTGTTAATGTAATCGTCTCCTTTGAGGTCTGATAAAGACCTTTTGTGCCCTCTGTAATCCTTTTTCCGCTACCGCTCACAAGATGAGTATGGGGTGCACAATAAACTAGCCGGCCCCGGCGGCAACAATCAATCAAAAGCCTCCAACACTTATATCTCAAGCCCTCTTGTAGCACCAGCTCTCATTTTAACACCAGCACTCATTGTATCTCCAGCACTGTAGCTCCAGCACTCACTGTAGCTCCAGCACTCATTGTAGCACCAGCACTCATTGCAGCTCCAGCACTCATTGTAACACCAGCACTCATTGTAACACCAGCACTCATTGTAACACCAGCACTCATTGTAACACCAGCACTCATTGTAACACCAGCACTCATTGTAACACCAGCACTCATTGTAGCTCCAGCACTCATTGTAGCTCCAGCACTCATTGTAGCTCCAGCACTCATTGTAGCTCCAGCACTCATTGTAACACCAGCACTCATTGTAACACCAGCACTCATTGTAACACCAGCACTCACTGTAGCTCCAGCACTCACTGTAGCTTCAGCACTCATTGTAACACCAGCACTCATTGTAACACCAGCACTCATTGTAACACCAGCACTCACTGTAGCTCCAGCACTCACTGTAGCTCCAGCACTCATTGTAGCTCCAGCACTCATTGTAACACCAGCACTCACTGTAGCTCCAGCACTCATTGTAGCTCCAGCACTCACTGTAGCTCCAGCACTCATTGTAGCTCCAGCAATCACTGTAGCTCCAGCACTCATTGTAGCACCAGCACGCATTGTAGCACCAGCACTCATTGTAGCACCAGCACGCATTGTAGCACCAGCACGCATTGTAGCACCAGCACTCATTGTAGCACCAGCACTCATTGTAGCACCAGCACTCATTGTAGCACCAGCACTCATTGTAGCACCAGCACTCATTGTAGCACCAGCACTCATTGTAGCACCAGCACTCATTGTAGCACCAGCACTCATTGTAGCACCAGCACTCATTGTAGCACCAGCACTCATTGTAGCACCAGCACGCATTGTAGCACTAGCACTCATTGTACCATCACACCAATATTCATTGTAGCCATAGCACTTAGGCAACATGTTGCACAAAAACTCATTGTACCCCCAACAACGGCCGTTATATTTCAATAATCATTGTAGGCTAACACCAACTACCATTGAAGCGCCAACATTCATCATAAGCCTACGTCATCATAAACTGGTTTGTTATTACCTGTTGTCATTGTACTTTACTTCAACACTATTGCAACAGTTGTATTATTAGTGTGTCAGGTGTGTGGTTGTAACACCACCGTGTCAGGTGTGTGGTTGTAACACCACCGTGTCAGGTGTGTGGTTGTAACACCACCGTGTCAGGTGTGTGTTGTAACACCACCGTGTCAGGTGTGTGGTTGTAACACCACCGTGTCAGGTGTGTGGTGTGTGTCAGGTGTGTGGTTGTAACACCACCGTGTCAGGTGTGTGGTTGTAACACCACCGTGTCAGGTGTGTGGTTGTAACACCACCGTGTCAGGTGTGTGGTTGTAACACCACCGTGTCAGGTGTGTGGTTGTAACACCACCGTGTCAGGTGTGTGGTTGTAACACCACCGTGTCAGGTGTGGGTTGTAACACCACCGTGTCAGGTGTGTGGTTGTAACACCACCGTGTCAGGTGTGTGGTTGTAACACCACCGTGTCAGGTGTGTGGTTGTAACACCACCGTGTCAGGTGTGTGGTTGTAACACCACCGTGTCAGGTGTGTGGTTGTAACACCACCGTGTCAGGTGTGTGGTTGTAACACCACCGTGTCAGGTGTGTGGTTGTAACACCACCGTGTCAGGTGTGTGGTTGTAACACCACCGTGTCAGGTGTGTGGTTGTAACACCACCGTGTCAGGTGTGTGGTTGTAACACCACCGTGTCAGGTGTGTGGTTGTAACACCACCGTGTCAGGTGTGTGGTTGTAACACCACCGTGTCAGTGTGGTGTGTGTTGTAACACCACCGTGTCAGGTGTGTGGTTGTAACACCACCGTGTCAGGTGTGTGGTTGTAACACCACCGTGTCAGGTGTGTGGTTGTAACACCACCGTGTCAGGTGTGTGGTTGTAACACCACCGTGTCAGGTGTGTGGTTGTAACACCACCGTGTCAGGTGTAACACCACCGTGTCAGGTGTGTGGTTGTAACACCACCGTGTCAGGTGTGTGGTTGTAACACCACCGTGTCAGGTGTGTGGTTGTAACACCACCGTGTCAGGTGTGTGGTTGTAACACCACCGTGTCAGGTGTGTGGTTGTAACACCACCGTGTCAGGTGTGTGGTTGTAACACCACCGTGTCAGGTGTGTGGTTGTAACACCACCGTGTCAGGTGTGTGGTTGTAACACCACCGTGTCAGGTGTGTGGTTGTAACACCACCGTGTCAGGTGTGTGGTTGTAACACCACCGTGTCAGGTGTGTGGTTGTAACACCACCGTGTCAGGTGTGTGGTTGTAACACCACCGTGTCAGGTCACCACCGTGTGTGTGGTTGTAACACCACCGTGTCAGGTGTGTGGTTGTAACACCACCGTGTCAGGTGTGTGGTTGTAACACCACCGTGTCAGGTGTGTGGTTGTAACACCACCGTGTCAGGTGTGTGGTTGTAACACCACCGTGTCAGGTGTGTGGTTGTAACACCACCGTGTCAGGTGTGTGGTTGTAACACCACCGTGTCAGTGTGGTTGTAACACCACCGTGTCAGGTGTGTGGTTGTAACACCACCGTGTCAGGTGTGTGGTTGTAACACCACCGTGTCAGGTGTGTGGTTGTAACACCACCGTGTCAGGTGTGTGGTTGTAACACCACCGTGTCAGGTGTGTGGTTGTAACACCACCGTGTAACACCACCGTGTCAGGTGTGTGGTTGTAACACCACCGTGTCAGGTGTGTGGTTGTAACACCACCGTGTCAGGTGTGTGGTTGTAACACCACCGTGTCAGGTGTGTGGTTGTAACACCACCGTGTCAGGTGTGTGGTTGTAACACCACCGTGTCAGGTGTGTGGTTGTAACACCACCGTGTCAGGTGTGTGGTGTGTGGTTGTAACACCACCGTGTGTGTGTGGTTGTAACACCACCGTGTCAGGTGTGTGGTTGTAACACCACCGTGTCAGGTGTGTGGTTGTAACACCACCGTGTCAGGTGTGTGGTTGTAACACCACCGTGTCAGGTGTGTGGTTGTAACACCACCGTGTCAGGTGTGTGGTTGTAACACCACCGTGTCAGGTGTGTGGTTGTAACACCACCGTGTCAGGTGTGTGGTTGTAACACCACCGTGTCAGGTGTGTGGTTGTAACACCACCGTGTCAGGTGTGTGGTTGTAACACCACCGTGTCAGGTGTGTGGTTGTAACACCACCGTGTCAGGTGTGTGGTTGTAACACCACCGTGTCAGGTGTGTGGTTGTAACACCACCGTGTCAGGTGTGTGGTTGTAACACCACCGTGTCAGGTGTGTGGTTGTAACACCACCGTGTCAGGTGTGTGGTTGTAACACCACCGTGTCAGGTGTGTGGTTGTAACACCACCGTGTCAGGTGTGTGGTTGTAACACCACCGTGTCAGGTGTGTGGTTGTAACACCACCGTGTCAGGTGTGTGGTTGTAACACCACCGTGTCAGGTGTGTGGTTGTAACACCACCGTGTCAGGTGTGTGGTTGTAACACCACCGTGTCAGGTGTGTGGTTGTAACACCACCGTGTCAGGTGTGTGGTTGTAACACCACCGTGTCAGGTGTGTGGTTGTAACACCACCGTGTCAGGTGTGTGGTTGTAACACCACCGTGTCAGGTGTGTGGTTGTAACACCACCGTGTCAACACCACCGTGTCAGGTGTGTGGTTGTAACACCACCGTGTCAGGTGTGTGGTTGTAACACCACCGTGTCAGGTGTGTGGTTGTAACACCACCGTGTCAGGTGTGTGGTTGTAACACCACCGTGTCAGGTGTGTGGTTGTAACACCACCGTGTCAGGTGTGTGGTTGTAACACCACCGTGTCAGGTGTGTGGTCAGGTGTGTGGTTGTAACACCACCGTGTCAGGTGTGTGGTTGTAACACCACCGTGTCAGGTGTGTGGTTGTAACACCACCGTGTCAGGTGTGTGGTTGTAACACCACCGTGTCAGGTGTGTGGTTGTAACACCACCGTGTCAGGTGTGTGGTTGTAACACCACCGTGTCAGGTGTGTGGTTGTAACACCACCGTGTCAGGTGTGTGGT